AAGTTGAGGCAAACTGTGCCTATTTATAACTTTTGGTGTCGCTTCAGATGCTTCTAATATTTTGGTCTTAGTCTTATGCATGCGAATGAGTAGGACTCTAAGGCGGATCGGCGACAAAATACTGGAACTTGGGGATTGCCTAAGGGAAGTAATTCCTATGGCAACGGACGATTCGTAGTACCGACCCGAATCCAAACAAATGGAAATAAACAAATCTTCGCTTTACGTCATAAAACTGTCATTATTTTTCACAAATACTTAACACTTCCTTGTCTGGTACAATATGCTATATTTAGCATCAATACTCAGATAAACTAACCAATCAATGTAATGCAATAACAATTACGCATCTATTTAGAAAAATAAAGTTTCCGCTTTTTCGATGCAGACCATAAATAATACTACGATATATGTACCAAATGATTACACTTTGAGGAGGTTCTTATTCGTTATTGTTGCAACTTTGATAACTATTTTCGAATTAGCAATCACATTCTAAATCAAGCCATGCATGGTTTAATGTATTAATGTTAGTTTGGCGTAATAAATATGTTCAACATTCCGGTTTAGTTTGAAAACGATGACGAAACTCTAATTAAATTTTGTATAGTTGTACGCTATTGTGATTGATTGCGACGATTTAATTGGTTGACTTTTACGTCTATAAATAACTGACGGTCACAATGTCATCAATACACTGCCCTAGTCATTTCTTGAAACACCGCAATACGATGGATCATCGCTGTCTATTAATAGTTTTGATTTGTGTCTTTTATTAGAAAGAAGGTAAACCTCTACAATAGTCTTGATTAAAACATCAGACAGGGAATCACACAATACATCGTCATCATACGTTTTATTCTACAACCCACAGCTCCTTCATACATAGCAGTATTACACAAAACCACGGGCATATACTGTATAAACAGAACATGTATATATTACTATGATACACCATATGTTCCCTTGGTTGCGGGTGACGACGTTTAAACTACGATTTATACTCACGATCTAAATATTGGTCTTGTTATTACAGTCTTTATCCCCTAATAACTCCTCTCGACCTGTCTTCAAATTTTTTCAGCCCAATGTAGAGACTTTTTTGTTTATTGACACGCTTTACAAGGTTTTTGACTGCCACAAAACACTCTACGTTGCGTTGCGTTGTACTTTTAATAATGCTGCATATTCCAAATGCTTGCTCAAGGCGCAACCAAACATCTCGTGAAGCCTCCTTATATATGAAGGTGGGCCCTTATTCACGAGAGGATACGGCAGAATCATGTGATTATTTTTTGTCTATATTAATACACACTCGTCGCGTTAAACTGATATACTTGTGAATAAAAGTTCCTCGCAATAGTTAAACTGATATACTTGTATGGATCCCAAACCTCATATTTCAACGCGTCGCCTAATTCTTGGATATGTGGAGGGGAAGACAGGCACTTGATGTAGTAGTAGTTAAAAGGTTTTTAGGGCAAAAAGATTTTGTAACAGAAAATGTAAGTATATATGTAATATAATTCGATGAGTCTGTAGAAAAGGCTAAACGCCAAACTTCATTAACCGAATTTATTAACCAATATGCATGTTTTAAATGAATACCTCTTTTATATCTCCAAAAACTCCTCGTCCCAAAGTGGGGATACAAACGAGGTATGACTGTATTCAAATTGATCCACAAACCTTTGATGTATGCGTAGATTGAAGAACTTGAACCTTCGCTAGATAAAATAGCAGAGGAGCAAAATGATGATGAGGAAGAGCGAATGTTGAAAAGAAATCATCAAGGTGGAAATATATCTCAGTCATTATTTGTGGTTGATAGTACTTTTGAGAGCGACACAATAGATTCAACGATAGATTATATGATGAACTGGATAAATTGGCAAAAGAAGCTCTTCAGAGTAATGAGGAGTGGATTATTGGTACTAATA